TAAAACATTTTGTTCTATTTACTACTGTTTTATTCTTTTATACTTATCCCAAAAAGATTCTTTGGTATCAAGTCCGTTGTAAGTACCTATCCAATATTCATTTGTAACGTTTTAGATTTATTTATATTTAAAATATGAAACGGTACTTATTAAAAATCTCTTTCAGTAATTCTATAAGTGTGTTTAAGGGTAATATAATAGACAGAGACTGTAGGCACTCTGCATGATGGATATGGACGTAGTACATCGTTTATGCAAGAAGATGGTACCGTAGCCCGTTCGTTAATAAACTATATGTAACTAAGTGACCGCACGCTCATTATAATTGAATCACGAAAGGGTTGAGGTACTCCCTTCCTTGTCTGCTACGTGGTGTCATACCCAGATTAAAATGTCATTGGAATTATAACTATAATATGTTTGATTAGTAGATCTTAATCATTCTATGTTCTTTAAATACAGACAAGCGTGATAAAAGTAGGATAGGATTTACCAGTTACAGAAATAGATTCAAAACAAAAACGAGAAAAGACGAGAAGAAATCTACCTTTCTAAAAGACCGACAATAATCTTGCGATTTTTCTGATGTTGCTAGTACTTATGAACAGCGAGTCTTCCATCAGGCTAGCCGTGTATTCGTTTGTTCGCTGTCTTATAAAAAAGAAATATACTGTGAAATATAATATTTAATATATTTTTACACAAAAAAATAACGACTTCAATTGTGATAAAACAAATGTAGGACTAACATAGTAATAAATACTGCAACAATAACTGAACTGTTAAGAAAATTGACAATTATCGGCACAAATAATTTCTGTTTCTTGTATTATTTATGTCAATTTAAATTGTTAATCTCTTTCTAAAACAAAATGCAAGCTTTTCGTTCAATCCGGATTTCTTTTGTAACATATTTAGGGACAATGGCGCACAGATTGCAGGCTTGCTTTAGGTATTTTATTTTCAACCATTAGGTTCGCCATTGTCGACTGCATCATTGTATCAATACAATGCGTTGCGAGAAACAATTTCGAACCATTCGAATTCATTTTACTATATTCCGATATTATTAAATCAATAATATAATTATGTTATTTACACACTTATTTTCCAACTCATACTGGAAAAATAAGGTTACAGCGAAAACAAAGTTTTATACTTAAATTCAATAAAGTGGAAATTAAATAAAGTTTACAGAATATTTTTGTAGAACCTTTGCAAACTGGATTTGAATCAAGTTTGAAAATACTCGAGATTGAACTTTTAATAGAGTTTTTTCCTGGAAACTTTATAACATGTTACAGACCTTATTTATTTGATACTCGTATAATGTCACCGTCTAATTATCTTTATTTAAGCTTTAATTTGAAATAAATACAAATATGGATATATATTATACATTATATATTTTTTGTAATTATTTATATTTATAATAAGTTTACTATTGTAATCTTTTGGAGGAAACAATAAAGAGTATCTATCTATCTCTATGATTATTTTTGTAGACATAGAGCTTTTTGTAGACGATCGGTCGTCCCTCGAATATGGGACCGGTAGACAGCAGAGGTCTCCAGTTCGGAGGCCGACTACATACTCATTTGTTGCAGTATGCAGCCGTTCATTTACCTTCCTCATGCTCTTCAAATATTGCGTCTAAATTGTGTCCACCATATACCCTCTTGTAAAGGCATTCCGTCACCCATATCCCATAGCGAGGACAGGATACCTTAAATACTGTACCGCAAACCATAAAAAAAGAACCTTATCAATTTGAAATCCAATTACCAAAATCGATTTAGAATTGGCAAATATTTTCAAATATTTAATAATATATAGGTATGTCAGACAATTAGAATACAATAGCAAACTTAACTTTCTTCTATTAGGTTGACATACCAATCACACAGTTGGTGGGTGGCAGGTCGAGCGACTGAACGCAAAGAACCAATTTCCTCGATGTCACCAGCGATCATCGACTAACGTCACACGCTTACACACGTACCTATACGTCTATCGAATACATTGGTTATCGTATGTTACATATAAATATTTATCTAACAATATTATACATACATATAGACGTCGTATACTATGAGTATCTATTATAATTACTCTTCTCCATCGAAAGGTTACCTGAAAGAGATCGCTCTTAGCGATAAGGCAATGGGCGGCCTTTTCTTTTTTTAATTTCTTAGTGTAATATTTTCTTGTAATTGTTTGTATTTATAATAAGTTTACTATTGTAGTCTTATGGAGAAAACAATAAAGGGCATTTTATAATTGAAATAACAAACGTATCCAATTTTAGATACCGTTTAAAACTTTTAGTCCACGTAACTCGATTAAATTCAAAATTAAATCATTATTAAATTTGTTATCACTATAGGGAGACTGTACAGAAATCGTTTGCTTGGGTATCTCTATCCTACAAGCGTTTCTGCCGTGAAGCAGTTTTTTTTTTTTTATTTTTAATAAGTGATAATGGAATGGAACCCCGCTTGCGCTATCGGTAGACGACACCGAGGTACCAGTGGAAGATGATAGGTAAGAATGAATGCAGGTTACTTGGCCCACCATGATAAATTCGCCAAGAATTAACCATGATGGTTTCTAGGGGGAACCTGGAAGGTCGACCTGAGCAGGTATATTACTAGCAATGGAGTTATTGGACCTCAATACTAACAATCCCTTTCCCCCAAGCAATTATGTTTGCATGGCTGTGTTTCGATTTCAAGGTTGGGATATGGCAATGAATGTACAGGGTACAGAGGCATTACATTTTAATCCAGAGAGAAGGATTATTAGTAATGCGGACTACCAGTCTCATTGCTAGCAATAAACCTTGTCAAGTCGACCTCCACGTGCTCCCCCCTAAAAACCATCGTGCTGAATTCCAGGAGTGTTCATCACGATAGGCTAACTGACCTGCCTTTTCATTTTCACTTATCATCCCTTACTTTTTTTAATGGATTATAATGAAATAGTAACCCCGTCTGCGCTATCGATATACGCTGGCGGGGCACCAGTGAGGGACGGATGATAGGTGACGATGAAAGCAGGTCAGTTAGCCCATCGTGATGAATTCCACTAAAATTAACCATGATGGTTTCCAGGGGAAACTGCATGAAGGTCGACGTGATAGAGTGTATTGCTAGCAATGGGTCAGCTAAACCCTATTACTAACAATTCCTTTCCCCCCATTATCCCTTACTGGTGCCCCGCCAGCGTATATGGTAAGCGCAAGCGGGGTCATCAAAAAAAAAAAAAACACTAATCCTCAGGAATGGCAACGTATGGAGGGTATCACGGGCGACACATTAGGTGATGGTTACCACTTTCTATCAAGTGGGCCGTCAGCTTGTTTACCATTCTAAGTTGCAAAAAGCAAAACATTCCTTCTCCATGACAAATAATGTACAACAAATTTCATGACGATTAAATGGTAACAAGTGTACTCCCTCTTATTTAAATCTTTAATTAATTAATAATGTTATCTTGCGGCTTTTCTCGAATATTTTATGTTATTTTAGTGTGACTGAATTATAAACATTTTTACACATTTTCCTATTTGTAATTTTAATGAAATTTAATACACTAACAAATGGATCATATCTCATGTGCAACTATGCCACGAAAATGGCTAGTATGAAAGAAGTGGCAAATATTACAATTTGATATGATAGGCGATATCTCTATTACCAAATTGTATATACATTTTAACAGCCAGTGCTGATCCAACTAAAATATATAATGTGATATCTTGGACAGTCTTGAAATTCCTTATTAATCTTAGCTCCGACTCTTTTGTCGACTAATCAAAAATTGCACGCACACTAACATTTCATATTTTCCTGAACCGTTATCTAATTTGTACAAGCACGGCTCCGTCTGTTGATTGAGTGGAACGAACGTTATCCGGGTCATTTCAAGGGAGTCGTGTCATCGTTCACCCGGTAGTCCGGCTAAGGAATACTGCAGGAAACGAAGTTACAGGAATGATAAAAGTACTCCTACTATCTAACAAAGTAAAGTCATCTATAAAACGTAAAAATTAAATTGTAATGTAGATAATTGCGATTAGCTTTTTATTTTTCTTCTGACGATCTAATCAAATATAAAAACATTTAGATATTATTTTTGAACTTCTATATATGTTTTATGATGAAATTTTATGGTATATTTACATCACACGCGTTCTATCGTCACTGATAACTAGGTATACGTATACTTATCTATTTTATAAAAGGTAATCTACTAGAGTTTAAAAATGTTTCCTCAGTTCACATATATATCAATCAACACTTTATTTTTTTTGATATAGCAACTAAAATCAACTTAAAACATAGATAAAACAGTAATACTTCAGTACTACTTAAATAATAAATAGCCCCGGACATAATTCATTAGAATTCAACGTAGAAAGGGCGAGGCTGCTGACATCTCGTGGATTAATTAGGCTTGTTAACGGTGTTTTATCATCATCAAATATTTAATGAAATATTCAATCATTGGCTTAAAGCTAGTAAGCTTTCATTCGCGACTTCGTTCGCGTCACTGGGAAATGTTTACTGACTTGTGTAGAAAGTAGCCAATGTCCTTCTCAATCTCAAATACATAGAATGTGTGTACCAAATTTCAGTGATTAGATAAATCTTTAAGGCGCTAAGAGGTAGCAAACAAACTCATATTCACTTTTGTAAAGATTGTTAATCTGGCATTAATTACTTCGATATTGAAATAGAATTTTAGTATTATTTTCAATCTGAAAATAATTAAAAATTATATAAGGGAATATCAGTGTATCATAGAGTGAGAAAATCTTAGTAAGATTTTCTCACTCTATCAATATTATCAACTAGTTTTTCACAAAACTGAGATGTATTGATTGGCCAGTATTAAAAATAGCCTATGTCCTACATTTTATATCGATAGACTAAACAGTTAAAGTAAAGCTAAAGGAAATGAAAAAAAAAAAACAAAGTCACTTATTATGATAATAATCAGGGTTACTTTAATATACAATCATTGGATAGTAAATAACATCAATCGATTTCTAAATTCTTAAATGATTCTTCTAGTCCTGGGAAGATAGTGCTAATTGTTTTGGGCTGACCTGGTCTTTTCGATTCAACCACTCTTTTCTTTGATTCTTCCTCAAAAAACTTCTTATTTAACTTTAATTTGTTCCATACTTTATCTGTAAGCCGTGAAGTCACGTTAAAAGTTAATAAAAAATAAAAACTAATATTATATAAATGTAACATTCATTGTAGGGAACAGTAGAGTTCTCATTATTTCATTCAATATTTATATTATGCATTCGTTTTATTCGGTTAAATATTATTTCATAAAGTAATGTACTTACATTACTCGTACCTACCTCTTAATTCTTGTGAATTTTCATTATGGCCTCCAGCATCTTTTGGTAAAGTTTCCAAATGAATGTATTGTTCTAAAGTATTTGAACCCACTTGATGGACTTTCAGCAAGTCGAGCATCTCCTTTTTCATGATAGGTTTCATCATAGTAAGCATTTTATCCACAAAAACAGGTGCATTTATGAAATGAAATTCTTTAAGGCGAATGAACATGGCCTCCTGGAGAAGTAGTTTAATAAACTTTAATGAAAATTAATCGCTTTTCGGACGATAATTTTCTTTTATTTGTTGTAATAATCTCACCTGTATGAAATAGAAAAACTCTTGTGCTACTTTAAGATCAATTCGAGTTATGTGGTTTAGTGTTACTTTATCCATGTTTACAATGATTATTATTCCTGGTACAGTACCCTCTTCATATTGCCAGAGATCAAGTATCATAACGAAAGCCCTGACGAAAATAAAAATAAAAAAAAAATATCTTCAAATGTAGCGTGAAAAAGCACTTAGTGAGCCGGCATAATGCGGCTAATCATAGAGAGTAGAATGTTCTCTTTTTGGTTTGTCATTTTCATAGACCATGTAGTCTCTGTGTTCGTTCAGGATAGTCACAAGTCGTGATATAATAAAAAATCTATGTAATATAGATTACCTTACTAAGTCACTGTATACAGATTTCTTTGGATCATCATCTAACAACTGACAATAAACAGCTCGATACCCTTCAGGTGTTACTGTCTGTAATGGGGTTATTAACCTGAAAAATCATAAAAATTTTAAGGTATTTTATTATTAGTACCTAGATAAAAATCGATTATATTTCATGACATTCATTTATCTTTTCATTGTCATTTATTCTATTGTCTTTTTATAGTGACGTAGAATATTGACTTACCATGTATGAAGAGCAAGTTCTAAAGACTTGTTTATATCTCTGTTCGAATAGAATGAGAACATCGTCCTAAGAGTATAGTTGAGGTCAATCACCTGCTTTGTCAATTCCATATTATATTCGCAACAATGGTATGCCAATACTATGTCTAGATCTAAATGAAAAATATAAGTAACTATGAATTATAAAGTTGTCAATCATATAAATAGTTTCTAATTAAATACATGTTAAGTGGATTGTCTAAATTTTAACGGCGTATTTCAACTCATAATAAATTATTGTTATAAATTAATCCTAATAACAGTAATATGCTTAATAAAATCTGTCATGCGGTAAATAATAAGTAACTACTAAGTACTAACTAAATTATCAACCTAAACTATATATACTACTTAAAGAGTATCTTACAGTAACATCAGTCTAATTTCTCCTCTAAAGTTCTTATCTAAAGTTTGCAGCGGTTTTTTTTTCTCGTCATAATAAATTTTGACCAAGGACTATTTCGAGCTTACAGTACCACGTAATTTCTTATTAATTATTATTTTATTAACGTTAAACCATATTATATGAAACGTTAGTACTCGTACTGTAAAATATTTAAAACAATAATAATAGCCATAGGAAATAACTTTAATTTTCAATGAGGTAATTAGAAGCATTTATCTTCTGGTGAAAATAGTTATAAAATAAATTAATTGACTAATTAACTAAAAATCATTTTTATTAGTTATCTAAATTAATTTATTATCAGCTTACCCGTCACTTGTTGATTGGGAAGATGTGGCTGTGTTTTCAGCCAATTTCGAATTGTTTCAATATCTTCCGGCTTTAGATGTGGTATTTTATTAAATTCTTTCGCAACCGAAAATTGAACTACAAACATTTTAAATTGCAAACCACCTGAGCAAATTGAAGATAAAAAATAGTCGCTACTGCACGTTGTCACTATAGTGCTGTCCGTCAACTATGTTATTTATCGAATGATTGAGTGAGACCCATTCATAATATACGTCTTTGTAGTCTTAAATTAGTGCAAGGTCAATATTACTGTTAGGTACTTGAAACAAAACTGATGAAATTGATGTAGATATATATATTTATATATCTTAAATCTGTAAAATAAGTTCCTGTTAGTAAATAACTGAACAAATACAAAAATTCCATTATTATCTTTATGTTTTTAATACATACTACACATCTACCCATCTCATTTTTATTTTCATTTCATATACCAATTCTATTAGATTTTTTTTTGTTATTTATTTTATATAATAAAATATTCCGAAATAAAAAAAGTAAGATCAACACAACATTAATATGCTTAATATGCATTAATAATTATGGTACTCTAATATTATTGCCTTTTGCCGATACACGTAAATATTAAGTTCGCATTTGTCAATATTTAACCATTGCTTATTAAATTACTATACTATTAAATGTAAATTAACAACTATTTACTTTTACTCTCTATGCGGTTCCTTACCACTATCGTTTATAGATAGTGTATATTATAATCTTCTAGGTAAAACCACAAAAACATGTTTTCGTCCTTGTCCGAGTTTCCAGGACATCGGCTCATCGTGTATACTCGTTGAACTTGTGAACCGGACCATTCACTGATGGCTGAGTGAGTCGCGTTCACGGTCCGCCTACTGCCTTCAAAGGATGTCACCCTATCACTATCCATCCTTCTAACATGTTGTTTATATTAAATAACTATATTTTGACGACTGTCCGCGTGTTATTATGACATACAAAATTCAATAAAATTTATGTATTAATTTTACTTGCAGCATTCGTGTAGCATTTGTCTAATGTGAACGGGAATCTTGTATTGTACCTAATTAGATATTTTATTTACCTACTTGTTGAAAAACAATGCCCCGTCGCCATTTTTAAGATAAACATATTTTTTCTTGAATAAATACAAGTATCCTCTAATTACAATCTTTTTATAACTATATATAAACATACCTTCTGTTTTCTATACATATAAAAATCAAATGCTATTTGTTAGTCACACTAAAACTCAATAACGTCTGGACCCATTTCAATATTTAATTGTTTTTTTTTTTTATATTCATTACATATGTATTACATGAGTAATTTAAAAGAAGAAAAAAGCTAAATAAATGAAAAACATAATTTTGTATAAGAATCGCCACTTCAGATCTGGTAGCAATACCCACGCCAAGGCGAATATAACCGTATCATCCTTTTCTCAAAGCGACTTACGGCTTTATTGCCCCACCAACTTCAACAAAAATATAAAATATAAAACCATAAAAATCTCGCAACGCAGTTCTTCCACTATAAAAAGTTGTAAGATGTCATGTAAAACCAAGTTAGTTATTTTAGTTAGGGTCTATGGAAGACTATCAATTTAAAAAAAAAATTATAATAACTATAATGACTTGGCAATTGCACGGCACTTAGAGCAATCTAATATAAAATATATTATTTCGATTACTAAGTAAATCTAAACAGTGCATTTAAGAATAAATTATTTTATTAGTAGAATATGTTACCGTAATGTAATTTGCAACGAGAATTGGCATTTGTTTTTTAATGGAATATTTCTTTTAATACATTAATAACATTAGTGGTTATAGAAAACTCACCGGGTTATCTAGTATATATATTGGTAATAATTAATATATATACTACTATTAATATATAACAAACTCACTTTGACGTTTATAATCTTAACAACGATTTCTTTTAATAGATGATAATGGAATGGTAAGCCCGCATGCGCTAACAGTACACGCTGGCGGAGCACCAGTAAGGAATAATAGGTGAGAATGAAAAGACAAGTCAGTTAGCCCATCATGATTTTTTTAATGGGTGATATTGGAATGGTAACACCACCTGCGCTATTGGCATACACCGGCGGGGCACCAGTGAAGGATCAAGGTGAGGATGAAGCAGGTCAGTTAGCCCATCGTGACGAATTCAACAAGAATTGTTCACGATGGTTTCCAGGCGGAACCACGTGGAGGTCGACCTAATAGGGCATATTGCTGGCAATGGGGCTGTCAAACTCCTTTCCCCCAGCCCATCATGATGAATACACCTGAAATTTAGTACGATGGTTTCCAGGGGGGCCACGTGGAGGTTGACCTGACGGGATATATTGCTAGCAATGGGACTGACATTCCACATTAGTAACAATCCCTTCCTTTCTTATTAGCGACAATTAATATTCGACACCACTCATGCCTCGACGCCATAACAAACTATCTGCTTATTTTTTTTTAATTTTATTTGATGACAGATTTAAATGTACTTGCGTCAATTTTGTTCGAGTAATACCTATGTGATTGGTGATTTTGTATTTCGATGATACAAATATATTTTATTACCTATTATTCACGTAACTGTAAGTAATGTATATTACATATATTCCTTACATATTTTATTTGTAATAAACATGACAGTTGTCGATTGTTTTACAATAATACATTCTGATGACTTTCAGAATTAGAAATGCATAGAATATTTAAATCGAAAATATTCAATATGGCAGAGCATACATCTAAACATAATTACATAGCTGCACTAACACCGGGGGAGCGATCCATCTTGCAGGGACAATGTTTGAATCAAAACATGAAATTTAACATGCGCTCGTGTCTTATGAATGAAGTCAACTGTCACCGAGACGTCAGCTTCATGCTCTTTGGACTTGGAGTTATTAAATATTCTCGGTACCAAAAAAAAACTAATAGTATAGAAAAAAAAATCAAAATTGGAAAAAAAATGTAAGAAAACTTCAAGTTAAAAAAAGAAGTCAAAGAAGTATTTTCAGAGGTTTATAAATTAAAAAAGATCAGTTTTTCGTTAATTACTCACAAATTTAAAGCATTTAAAGAAAACATTGTAGCTGTAGTAATTCTGCATATTTTGGTATTTTTTTTTTCAACGTCCTAGGTGTAAAATTGACAAAGATATGATATTTTAATAATGATAACAACCATTGGTTTAACTTAGGCGTATTTTAGTCGAGAAAACTCCACTAGTTTCGAAACCATCCGGGGCCCTTAATCATGAGCGACTTAACGAGAGCGTGAGCTTAACTGCGCGCCTCAGCCTGCCGATTTCAATTTCAAGAGGGAACATTTTTACGCCCTTTAAAGTGCGGATGTTTTCCTTAAGTTACGGTATTTTAAAACTACTATAACTTTATTTATTTAACTTATTCAAAAAATAATCAAATACTACAATAAAGGGAAAGCTATACACTTTGTTATAAAGTTATTCTAAAATTTATAGTAAACGCTGTATATTAAAAAATATAATTAAAAAAAAATAATTTTCTAATTTATTTTTATTTTTAAACATCAACTTAACACAGCATCATTTTTTGGCCCGCTAAATGGGTAAACGTTTTTAAAAATTCGTACATTTTTGGTAACGCTCTTTAATTTTTATATTCGGTAAATATCAAAGACGATATTAAACGCTATCAAAGTAACTATAGTTTATTAAATTCAGTATTATACTTTAAAATTATTACCAAACCAATTTGTCTTATTCACATTTTTTGAGAAGTGATTTGAGCGCCCCCTATCTGAATCCACAATATATAAAATCTTAAATAAAATTTTGTATAACATCAATCAACTTTTTTGTTCTCAATAAAATTACTAACAATTTTTCGTTATGTTTTTGGCATTTGACTAATTGGGCAATATTATAAATCCATCATCATCATATTAGCCTTAATTGTAACTGTCCACTGCTAAATATAAGTCTCTCCCTATCGAGGGGTGTTGCCAGTAATTGCCACGCTTGGCAAGCAGATTGGCAACCGCAATTAGGCTTTGGAGATGTTTTAAAAGGGACGCTGCTGCCATCCCTCGCCCTCCCTTAGTCACCTCTTATGACATCCACGGGAAAGGAACGGGTGGCCTATTCTGTGCCGGGACCATACGGAAAGACAACTACCTTAGTTGATCGATTTTAAATACACTCTATTAGCAGATTTGTATAATTTTAATGTATACAGTTGTAGAAAATTCAAAAGCTAGATCAAAACAATATAAAAAACACAGGACTGCTTTGAAAGCATAGATGTTTTCACATTTATAACTTATTCGTTTTTTTTAGGTAAGATGTTGAAAATATATACTAAAATGTACAGAATTACTTAAGCTACATCTCCCTTTTTGTTTAATTCTGGCCCTTTGGATCTTCGTTCAGAGACCTTTTTACAATTTTTCCCTCGAAGGTCTATATTTTTTGTGATTTTTCGATTTATGTTTCTGTAAGAAAAATGGTCAATTTTAATTTAGATTTCTCCTTGTATACACACATATATTTCAAAATAGAATTAATATCACCATCATAGCCACTATCGGTCCACTGCTGAACATAGGCCTCCCCATAGACTGCCATAAGGAACAGTACTGAGGTCTTAATTAATAATTAATAACAATTGGTAATTTAAATAAGTATTAAGTGAAATGAAATAGATTAAATCCCCGACTTCGCTACATGGAGCACGTTTTAGTGGCGTCTGAAATGTTGTTTGCTGAACTACACGTCACACTTGGCATTGTTAGACTACCGCGATCCCGTTTCAATATCATGCTAAGAGAAATACGAGTCCCGGCGTCTACCACCTCATCTGCAGCTAGCGTTCGTCATTCTATATCACGGTAATACAATTACATTATATTCAATACCTAAGTACTCTCTTTACAAAAAAATCATATTTTATAGGTAAAAATCTGTATCCTTTAGTTATATCTTATATGCATTAGAATGGCATAAAAACTAATGGCTCACCTGCTGAAAAGTGTCAACTGTCGCCTATACACTGTAACGCCATGGTTTGTCTCATGCGTTGCCTTTGTAATTAGAATATCGACTGCGACTCTTCTAACCGAATTACTTTCATTTTGATACACAATACAAGCACAGCTACGAGTATTTCTAGCTATACTTTTATGGTAGCAATATGAATGCGATATAACTTTAAACTTTGATAGCAAAACTAATTTTGTAGAAAATTTCTTCCCGGTAAACAAAGTAAGCATCAACTATAAGCAACCAACCTATCATCGAGATCAAATATGAAAATTATCATTATTACACATATCTGGTACTGTTCATGTCTATAGGCGATGGTTACCACTTTCCATCAGGTGGAACGTCAACTTGTTTACTATTCTAAGCTGCATAAATCTAATGTTAATCAACGGATTGTATTCATAACGAATTTTTTTTACAAATATTTTCTATAATATCAATAAAGATATTGTTATGTATGGAGCCTATATGGCTTAAAGCAAAACATCTAGAACCTCGTTAAAACTGTAATTTATATCCTGCACTGCGGTTTCTATCCCGCCTACCAAGTATAGAGATTATGATAATATCCTTTCGTAGCTAAACCCTTAATTCTCATTATGTCTCAAAAATATAATTTATTCTTCTATGATTTGTATATATGAAGAAGAATAAGTTGTATTACCTAGAATAACTTTCGCATTTTTCTGGAAATAAAAGTATAGAGTATATTAATTTGTGGCTAAAATTTATTATTTTTATTTTTAGTATTACATCCAGATCATCTCGTGTACACACAAATATACATAGAAAAAACACTGCCACTGGGTGTACACAAAAACTATATGATGATATTTATTTACCATCACATGATATTTGAGAGGTAATTTATCCTTTAATAATTTAAATAAATCATTACCAATTGTTATTACATAACAATAACAAGTATTATCAATACAACAAAATTATTATAAGTAAGAAACACACCGTTGTTATTTCGTGATAGAATAGAAAAAATGGCTTGAAAAAGTTTTACAAACCTTAACACCAGTAATCACAAGTGTAAAATTATAAAATTGTGTTTCCAATTCTTATAGTCATTAAATATTATTAACATTATGCAGGGAATGTTTACCTAAATATTTCCCGTCTGAGTGTTATCCTAACAAGACATACAACCAACAGCAAAGACTTAAATGGTTAGCGCGCATCGCCCGTCTAAGAAGCGGCCTCCGAACTGCCAAGATTAGACTTCCATGATATGCCTTATGAAACTTTGTATTACTAATATAACATTTAACTACTGCATATCGTATTACTCAACTGTTCAATATCAAATAATACATGTTGTAATTACTTAAACCTATATACCGCATTGTCTTTCTAAATATTTAATACAATAACACTGAAATACATTGTCACTGTACTTTTGCATAATTGAAGAGACCTATCCGAGCTTACATTTTGTAACTGATCCAAATGTCAGTCAGGAATGACAACAGTAGGTAGATATAAAATTTTCATAACATTACTTACTACTATCTGACAGGTTTATTACCACAATAATCTAAGAACATATTACAGCAATTATCCTGTCAAAAGTCTGTCGAAATAATATATTCTGGGGCTGTCGATGAAATATGAGATGTACCTACGTACTCAAGTCTTAGTAAATTATTAGATACATATAGAGAAGTATTGAATTTTTTCTAGAAGACATTATTTTGTAGCACGGTAGGCACCATGTTACGAAATAATGCCTTCAATATCATACCGTAACTAGGTGTCTAGTAATAACTAAATAGCTATATTCTAAATAGAAATATAAAAACAAATCTTAAAAAGGCATGTAACATTATGATTAGTTTAACTATATCAATACACAATATACCTAATTGTGTTTACAGTCGTAAAAATACGTAAAGTCTTTCTCCAATTTGCTTTACTATTATAAAGAAAAACCTTACGCAATCGGCTCTTTTTAGTCCGCAAAAAAAAACGGAAACCATTTTTAACTATCTTCAAATCAATAAATCAGAATTTTCAAGAGCACATGAAAAAAATATTTGTTACTCAAGCACGTATACACTGAAAGAATGTAAATAAAATTTAACACACAGATTAACCATATTATTATTCTAGACATACATTAAAGTAGTTTTTAAACTGAATAAATCAACTCTCGAAACTATAGTAAATATATGTATATTATTCACATAATTTGGCAAATGAAAAAGCATATTTAAATAAAACAAACTTTATTTATAGTAATACATACTGAGTATATTAGGCTTTAGCACTAAGGCCACTACAATTAGGTACTTTTGGACATAAATATTCGTGTTAATTTTTATACAAATATGGATATCATACGTAAGAGGACAAGCATTTCAGCAACTACTTAAATATCCCCAATACATTGCGACGTGAAACCATCAATCAATTGAAACGAAGTTCCGTGTATATTAACGGACCGTAGTTTGCAGATGAAGAAGTTTCATGAGTCGGTTCTGCCAACGCCGTCGCTGCATCTCACTACAGCGACGGATGTCTTCAGGCTCATCAGGAAATGCAGACGGAAAATAAAATCTGTAAAATATTATTATATATTTTCCATTAACTGTATCCTGCAGATTCGCCCATGGTCGTATCGTGATGTTGAATAGTCAATAACCTTTCTCAAGAATTGAGCTATCAGATGCAATCAGATAATTTTTCAAATCCAATTGGTAGTTCCAGAAATTAAAGCATTAAAACAAGCATACAAACTCTTACGTTTAGTTATACTCATATTAGTTTAAATGTTCTAAACAGTCCAGTCATAAGATTCATAACAGACAACTGATTGCTATGGCACCACTACCATTTGACTTAATAATAGTATTGTAATATGAATAATGAAACATTTTGTTATTGTTAAAATCTTTATCTTTATATCAATCAACAGGATTAATGTTTTGCAGAAATTACTTACTCTCTCTTCTCTTTCCGCGGCAACACAACATCAGGATACAATTTTTGTACGACTAACTGACTTTTTCTCATGGAACCAGCACTTTTGGAACTATAGCTCGTTGATGACCTAAATATAAAAAATAACAACTTTAATAACATTAATAAAAATATTATTAATATTATCCTATCCCTGGAGCCCTGAACTCCGGCCGACTATGCTTCTGCCGGAGGTTTATATTAATTTGCCATATCCTCTCCTTAAGAGGATAAGTGTGAATTTTATTTAAAAAAATAATACACATATTATACAGAATGTAACTAACATAGATGCTCTAGACTTTCCTCCTTCAGAAACAGTAGGCAACGGTCTCAACATAGTATCGAATGCTGACCGTGGCATGCCCAAAATACCTACAACCACGCCTAGCTCCTTTAATTTATCTTCTGGACCGGCAACTGCTTGTAACATGTAATGAAGACGCGGCGTCATCCTTTAAAATAGAATACAGTACATATTATCACTTTCCTTGCCTCTTTAATCTTTTTTTCATTTTAAATCAAATTATCCAATATTTTCTTAATAGGAAAATACACTTTTTTTTTCGAATTTTAGCATTTAATAGTAGGTACGAGCAAAAATAACAGCAACAGAATTCTAATCCACTACTACTTATAATATTCTAAGACACTACGTAAATTTTGATATTTCTCCTTACTGTAACATTTATTGTTTGACGAAAATGTCTGTTAAAATTATTTATTTAGAAATTGATTGACCTACAGAATCTAATATGATGAGTTTAGTTATTGTGGATGATCAGAAACCTATTCACTAGTTCAATACTTGAAGTAATACTTGCCTCTAAAATAATGTAGATACCTTTTAGACACTGTTATTGTGCTAATGTCATAATTTCAATAACTATTAGAGATTCTATTACAATTCTTACTGAGGGCATTTAATGACTCCAAGTCCCAACAAGCGATAGTCAATCTCCCTGTGACAGAAAACTTCATTCATCAGCGGTGATCGTGTGTTGAGTTTCTTGTCCTGTCGCACGCAGTGACCCAGTAGTACCGCCCGTTCCTCCTTCGCCATCTTGGCTATATAGTCGGTCCGTAATGTGTGCTCCACAGCATTGAATATCTCCGACTTAAATATTCGGTTCATTTCCAATTCTAACAAGATTCGCAATGATTAATCATGATTTATGGATTACAGCACCTACGCATAATATTGCTGTATTTACGGTAATTTTCTATTCACATTAATTTTTTTCACTTTTAGTTTGCTTGAAATAATTTTGTTAATATGACTCGAGATTGAAGTTCTTAATAATCGATTGTTTTAAAAGAATTAAATAAATATATAAATATTTTATTACATTAGATTCCATAAGATTCATTTCATGAAAAATCACTATAAAATGTTATACAGTAGTTACTTAAAAAAAATCACTATTTGCAGTGTAATTTACAGTATATATATATATATATAACAAAAGCACCTACATATAACAAAAAGTTTACCAATTTGATTAAACGATTTGCGTCCCAATGCCAGCCAAACAATTTGAACACACATACGGAGCAAAGTTTCAAAAAGTCGCACATCTTTGTCCGATAACGACCGTCGTTTTTTCTGTGGTCCCATGTGGTGAAATTTTCGGGTATCGCTACCACCTAACATATAAAAACAGAATTTATTCGTGTGTATCCTGGTTAATATTATAGACGTGAGTATAAATTTGTATTTTCAATTCCTAGGGTCTTAGCGGCTCAACCAATAATTTCGAAATTTAGCACACATACCTATAATTCTTGCTATGAGCAAATACTATTCTAAATTTATTTATTTATTTAAACTTTAATGCACAATGTAAATGTATGTACATCTGGCGGACTTAACACCTTATGATGTTCTCTATTAGTTAACCATTGGGCAAACAGAGAAATAAATAGGCGGTGTGGTGTATTCATGAACTGAGCACACAAAGTTATGATTTATATATTCATATATAACAAATATTTAAGTATCTTGGTTAATACATAAATACATCAAAGTTACGCAAACGAAGACATAGAGGGGGGAAAAGGATTGTTAGCAATGGAGTTTGCCAGCCCCATTGCTAGCAATATACCTTATTAGGTCGACCTCCACGTGGTTCCCCCTGGAAACCATCGTGAACAAGTCTTGCTGAATTGTCACGATGGGCTAACTGACCTACTTCATCCTCACCTATCATTCTTCACTGGTGCCCCGCCGGTGTATACCAATAGCGCGGGTGGGGTTATCATCCATTTAAACGAAAAAAAAAACGAAGACAGATATTATAATACCTATTAGCATTGTACTGTATTCTTTAGCAACTAAAAGACGTAAATCTGATAAATTGTCACGATATTCTTTTTCTAGAATCTCACAGTCTGGAGTACGCACTTTTGTCTCCAATTCAATAATACGAAGTGTCATCTCATCGGCCACCTAAAAATATAATGCGTAATTACAAAGTAGCATAAGTCTAATATAAATAACCATTATTATACCCAAAATTATTCTTACCTGTAAGTAATATTCAGAGTACAGTATAAGTGCCCTAATAAATCTTTCAGTCGTTGGTAGATGTAGCATATTTATAAGCATGGGGCTCATTATACCCACTGGAGCCGTGAATAATGCAATATCTTTCACGTCCTGGAAATCAGAAAATTGTCTTATGATTTCGACATAGGTGCCTACATATTGAATATATTTTAGTAGATATATTTTATGGTGTCATTTTCATTAATTAACTAAATTATATGCTTAACTTCGTAATGACATTTATGGATTAAATAGTTCCATCTGTCCTTAATAACGTTTCCTCTTGGTGGGTAAGAGTGGAATTTTATTCTATCTCCATTCTTGGACAATAGACAATGTCGTTCAGTTTTAATTAAATCAATTCACCAAAAGTAACTTTACAATGATATTTTAAGGTAAGAAGTTTATAGGTCACGCTTAGCTGTTTTAATTTATATTAAGAAGTTAAATATCACCAGAGAATAAATAATATATATATATATATATATATCGTGTTTCTAAAATGTTTATACCGATAAAAATTATGTATACCTAATAATTGATGTAATAAATATACTTAGCAATTATCTCACTTGTACGGTTATAACATCCGCTTGTCCTGGTTTTAATTTTCTTTGGTAACGTCGACGAAATCGAATCTGCAATATTCAAGTTCTCTGTAATTATTCACCATAATAATTAATTTTAAGTACTTATTCCAAATCCCAACAGTATTTAATGACGACATTTACCTCCTATCCTTGGGCTTCAGTAGATTTAGTGAGGCTTTGCCTAATTAAACAAACAAATGGACCCCCTTTTTTATTTACCTAAGTATACTCATATTAATAGGAAAAGTATCGAATCTTACCTGTTCTATTAAATCAACATCATCTCTAAATTCGACAGTGCCTGTTGGAGCCTTAGTCAGTATTTGTATAGCTTCTACGGGCTTTGGAGGAAGATCACTAACAAAAAAATAACAAATTTAAAATACATAAATATATTTAAAATAAATTTTTAATATATTTATTTATTTACAACAACTTAAATATAATTAGAACTTTTTTCGGGCTAAATATTAATAATGAGAGCATATTTTTTTAATATATTTTGTATTTGTTGTTATATTTTACCAATATAACAATATTGTAACTAGACAATGTCTGTAAATTTGAGGTAGATATATAAAGAAATTTATATTAGGGGTTTTAATTTTAAATTTTTAAAAGCAATATAGGCCAAATCAATAATTATTAGAATTTTTGTATCTGCCTGTACGTGTTTATGTTGCGTGATACCGGAATAAATAGTTCCGGCATCACACATTAAGTTCTGGACCAATTTTGATTTTCTGGTTCCCAGAAAGTCGAACTTAAAATATGGTATATGTTTTATCTTGATACACCATTTGGAAGTGGATACCTACTTCCAAAATTCGCACGTGCAAAATAGCGGGTAAGTTGACAGCTAGTTTAAAAATATTGATATGAAAATTGTATCAAATTACTAAAAGATATTAAGTAAATTTATTTTTTATATTAGATGATTGTTAATTATATGAGATACACAGATGTTAATGCAAGTAATATATATACAGGTAACATACAATAAAATATAAATAGATATATAAGTAAAGCATTGCGATTTGATAAAAAGTTGTTTGCTTAAATATCAAAGACAATTTTAATTTATTCATTTAAATTTTTTAAATTGCACCCGAGCCTTTACTTGTACGTATACATTAATACATATATATATATATATATATATATGTGTGTGTGTGTGTGTGTGTGTGTGTGTGTGTGTGTGTGTGTGTGTGTGTGTGTGTGTGTGTGTGTGTGTGTGTGTGTGTGTGTGTGTGTGTGTGTGTGTGTGTGTGTGTGTGTGTGTGTGTGTGTGTGTGTGTGTGTATATATATTATTGATTAGTATTACATACATCGAGATCGAGTTGCACATGTTCGAGAGCTTAAAAATGCTATGAACAGGTTAAATTATTAACCAAATAACATATCGTATTCTTAAAATTGGAATACATCAAAACTTACCTAATAAAAACTAAAGCTTCTACAGATTCGTCCCACGTCCAATGCCCCTCTTCATACAAACCACCAAAACCGCCTTCATCTTCATCATCAGCCATTGTATTACAATCGCAACTTGAGTAAAAATATTATAATCAAATTACCTATATTATATTTAATACAGAACTAAACCCAAACTAGTAAACAACCAATGTAAAAATTTAATACAAACTTGACGTGACAAAATCATTAAGAATTTATTTTTAATAAACTTTAAAAAAGAGGTTCTTAATACAACAATGTTATACAGACTACGAGTAGATACAGGATCGTTTTGTCACAAATAAATTGCTGTTTTTGTGGGACATTATGTTCAATAACTTTCTCTAATTCTGAACTAAATCATTTTATTTACTTTATCTCTGTATACCACATGTTTATACTTTTGCTTCTCACGTTTCTGTCACGTGCACTATTTTAAACTTTCTTTAATATGAATCTTGTCCATCCTTATCACACCACATAATATATCCATTTCAACATTAGCATCTCGGCTACATGCAGTCGTCTTTCGTACTCCCTAGTAAGTATATAGTTATAAAATAAATTCTCCTTATCGACATCTTTTGAAATCATACTTTTTAATAATAATTCATGGACAGCTATAACTTGCGAATCAGAATTTCCATCGAGCGTGTTTGTAAGTTCAGTAGAATTTACGATGTCACCAGTAAGTTGCTCTCGACGCCACTGAATATAAAGTTATGTTAATGCCACTACTGCACCTAACTCCAAACCTTAAAACTTGTAAAATGTTTCAACTTATTGGAAATGTACGCCATTGCGTGAATACGAAATCCTTAGTGGTAAGTATAACTGGAGTTTTAAATCTTCTTCATACACAAATTATAATAATATGTTGTGAAAGTGACGCAAGACAAAAAAGAATAATCACTAAATCTCAAAAGAAACTTGATGATTCGCACAAAGCGAATGTGGCGAATAAATTTCATACCGATCACTAACTAATGGTAGATATGGTATAGTATGACAGTTTTGTAAATTCCCTCTAAACTCTCAGAGGGAGACTTTATACAAAAGTCGTTTGCTTGGGTACCTCTGCCCCATTCGCGTTTTAACCGTAAAGCAGTTGTGTTTGCATGGCTGTGTTTCGGTTTAGTTCGAATTGGCGTGAATTTACAGAGTACAGAGGAATAACATCTGAGTCCTCAGGAATGGCAACGCATGGGAAGTATCATGGGCGAAACAGTATACTCTGTTATGTCCATGGTACTGCTCATGTCTATAGGCGACCAACTTTCATCAGGTGGGCCGTCAGCTTATTTACCATTCTAAGTTGTATAAAAAAAACTAGAGAAAACGGATTTCACACAAACGAAGACATGTACAATATCTAGTCCAATATCGCCGAGAACCAGATAATCTAGACAAATGATCGATTGCATGGAGAGTAGGAGAAGTAGGTAGGGTCAGGATACCTACTCGATGGACTGATCGACCAGAATTGCCACCAAACTAAATATTCAGTCAGCGATCCATATGGCCCAAGACAAGGAAGCTTGAAGAATATTCGTTGATATAAGCATTTCTAGTAGTCACAATCCTCAGACTAGAGAAATCGTCTGAGAAGAAGAGATAGTATCACATAAAAATGTAACACTACATATATGATAATATATATTGCAGGACTGAGTATATAATATTTTTTTATATAATTTTGAATAACAAACAAATTAACAGCTGACTTGATGCATAATGATAACCGTCTCCAATACATAGACATAAACAATAATTGACATCATAGTCAACACTGAACATGCTGTGTAGCCCATGGTAACCCTCATGTGTTGCTATTCCTAATGCTTCTCTGTCCTATAATTGTATTGTCACATTCCATCAACTTCAAATACAAAGCACATAAGAAATACAGTTACCCATGCAGACGACTTAGGTACTGTCTCACTCTGGCAACAATTTAAAATTTCCATAAAAAACCGATAGGGACTAAATTGTTAAAATTATTATGAATTTAGCCCAGTATTAGTTTCATGACCAATACAAGACAATTAAATCACCTTAAAATTAAGAAAGGTATTATAAAAATCAATTCAAAATATGGGAAGACATCACGTAACATACACATACGCAGACTAATCACAAAGTTTCCAAAACTAAAAACCAAACCAAAACACCTATTAATAATTTTAAAATTTGAAATGAGTCTATCCCGTATCGTGTATCTAATCCTATAGATCAATGAAAAACCTATATACAAACTATCAAATGAAAAATATATTTATAGGACATAGGTATAGAATAGATATAGAATTATAGGATTCCTTACAAGTAATGATATACGTAGTCCTATATACATCAAGTACCTAAATAAATTCTACTCATATTTAAAGACAATAAAGTGGAGGTAAATTTGAACAAGTATGTCATATGTTAAATCATTGAATACGAGTTAACAGCCGATTGCACACAAGGCTGGGAGATGCGCAGCTTTGATCATGCCCATTCTGCCATGTGATCAAATGAGTATCTACTTAGATTGGCACCCAGCACCCATTTAGGAGTGACCTATGTTTGTTTACAAAAATCCCTAATAAAAATAAACTGAGACAGTAATTCTAATTCTTTAATTCTTTACAAATATCATCAAAATGAAGAATATTTTCAGATATATATATATATATATATATATATATATATATATATATATATATATATATATATATATATGCGATAACTTTTCCACTTCTGAACATATTTTGATGAATATTTTTTATAGATATAGATTTCATATTTTTTTCGAATTTGGTAAATAATAATATAAAAACTATAAATAATATATATGGCCTGTACTCTATGCAGTGTAAATTACTTTCATTTAAGAATGGGTCAACTTACCTATTACCAGGCCATGGACACTTCATACAAAATAGTGTATATGAACGATCATATTTAAGTAACAGAAAATAATAAGTACTATTAGAGAGTAATAAAGATAAAATATCGGTCAGATTAGTGCTAATACTTACAATTATAGACGTAGTACAACGTACGCATTTTGTCATGAATATATGTAATAATCTAATCCTCTAATGAATGCATGCATGCATTGTTACGTTGCCAATGTAAACTCTGACAAAAGAGACATAAAAGTGACAACATAGCATGACACACACATATCCTCATAACCGTATTTACAGGTAGAGTCGGTAGATCGTGTTCGCGTCAGAATTATTAGGTGCCCGTCACAGTATGTGATCGAAGCTTCACAAAGATATTAGTTTCCACTTGCCATGAGATGAAAAGAGATGAGCGCTCTGAGAAGTGTGTGTGGTTACATTACATTAAAAGATAGGGTCAGAAACAGTGTGGGTAGAGAGAAGGGTAGATTGAAAAACATCAGACAGGTCGACCTCCACGTGAACCCCCTTGGAAACCACTGTGCTGAATTCCAGGTGTATTCATCACGATGGGCTTTCAGACCTGCCTTTCCATTCTTACCTATCATCTCTCACTGGTGCCCAGCCAGCGTATACCATTAGCGCAGACGGGGTTACCAATCCATAATCAGCCATTAAAAATAAACACTATATTCAAATTCAAATCCAAAATATCTTTATTCATGTAGGTCTATTTCAAACTCTTATGATATTTCAAATCTACCGTCAGTTTGGAATGGTTTCGAGATGAGAAGAACTGACAAGACACTCAGCTCGTCTTTTCAATTGTAAAGATATTTTATTTATTTATTTTTAACTATAACATTTAAGTCGATCGGTACACATGTATGACTGTAACTACTAATGAACTGTCACTTTTCTCATATGTGGTTTGCTGGAAGAAATCTCTATTGGAGATAAGCTCGCCCTTGTGCACTATTATGTTTGTTTTTATATTTCAATAACCTTTTGTGTACAATAAAGAATAAAGAAAGAAAGAAAGAAAGAAAAAAATAATTAATTAATTAATTAAATAAATAAATAATAATTTTAAATAAATAATTAATAATAATAATTAATAATTAATAATTTTTTTAATTAATTAATTTAATAAATTAATTAATTAAAAAAAAAGTAATTTATTTTTATTCCTTGTATTAAAAGCTTGTGACTATTCTTTGTAAATAAATTTAAGTTTTTACGTACGTACTTAATATTTTCATATATATATATATTGAGAGGGGACAGTAAGGATACCTGTTTCTTTAAAGCGTTCTCTAAGAAATTCGCAACACGGTAAATTATATATTGAACGAATTGTTCTTTTTTGTAATATAAAAATTAAATCTATATCAGCCGCCCTTTCTCATAATATAATACCATACAACATTAAACTGTCTAATTTTTCTGATAGCAAAAGCAGCCGAGTTTTTTGGCCAGTGCGAATATATGTGGTCCCCACTGCAATTTATATATACCAGAATTTTACTAATTTTTAAATAATAAAAATATGTATTGTCTTATAGTAAGATATTGTGTATCTATGTACATTTTATAGCTTTTAGGCAAGCTACAAGTTATTGAGTAATAAAGGTCAACCCCCGGCTATATAGGCCAGGCAAGAAACCCCAGAAGGTCGCTAAACTTCATAATAACTCTAAGTAAACTCATCGCAACACATTTAGGATTAAAAGGAGGAGACCCTCATGATGTCCCTTAGCATAACAATCAGTTTAAGTAGGAACATTACATAATTAATAGCATAATAGAAAATGTACTTACCTTTCCTTCTAACTCAAACTGAGCTATATCACATCACCAATTTACCAATTTACAAGTTAATTCATGAATGCATAATAGCTTAAAAGTATTACTAAAACATTTTATTATTTAATAGTTAACTTTAAAAGAAAGAGTTTCTTAATTTGATAATATTTTTGTCCTAGGTAAGTATACTAAATCTTTGCATATTTTGCACCGATTTTGAGAATTGTAGGTGTTAGCACGCTCTAAAGAGGAACCCTATCTAACCTTGCTGGGGGGAAAGAATTATTAGTAATGCGGACTATTTGTTCCATTGCTAGCAATATGCCCTGTCAGGTTGACCTCCACTTAATTCCCCCTGGAAACCATTGTGGCGAATTCCTGGTGTATTCATCACGATGAGCTAATTGACCTGCCTTTTCATTTTCACACATCATCCCTCACTGGTGACTCGCCAGCGTATACTGTTAACACAGGCAAGGTTACCATTCCATTATCATGCACTAAAAAAACATACCCTGCTCAGAACCTGCCTTAATTGATCGAATTCGAAAATAAATCCCGGTGACTTTTATTTACATCAAGAGT